ATCTGCTCCGATGCGCCCGGTCCGAGGCGTCAGAGCAAACCAGGAAATTAACAGAGCATCTGTCAACCCTGAGGTTTTCTATAAACTTGGGGAAGAACTCCATCCTTCCATCCCAGTCGATTGTGTTTCTCGGGGTGGAACTGAACGCCTCCCTAATGAGAGCACGGTTGTCGCCAGTGAGAGCGGCAGATCTCACCACAGTGATCTCCCGCGTGCAACCCCGCAAGATCGTGAGAGCCCTGTTAGTCATGAGACTTCTGGGCATGATGACTGCAGCCCACTCGGCGGTGCTGCTAGGGTTGTTGCACTCGAGGCGCCTGCAACGCTGGTTCATCCGCCTCCGGGTACACCCGATACGTCAGAAGAGACGTATGTTGAGGGTTCCCCCCTCAGTGGGCGGGGACCTCGCTCACTGGGGGAATCCCTGCATCCTCTCACACGGGGTCCCCATCGGAAGTCCTACGTCACACGTATCTGTGTTTACGGATGCGTCACTGTCTGGGGTGGGGGGCACGTGCTTGTCCCATACGGCGGCAGATCGCTGGCCCTCCCACACGCACGAGCACATAAATGTGTTGGAGCTTATGATAGTGAGGAATGCGTTCAGACACTTCGCTGCCCTTCTCGATGCCCGTCATGTCGAAGTTCACACAGACAGCCAGGTGGCGGCAGCCTACATAAATCGCCAAGGGGGAGCTCGATCCCTCCCACTATTGCGCGTAGCCACAGGTTTACTGTGTTGGGCACATGTCCACCTGCTGTGCCACCTACATTCCGGGGATCGTGAATGTAGCGGCAGACATCCTGTCGAGAGGGGTCCCCACCACTCCGACTGGCGTCTGCATTCCGCACTGATATCACAGATCTGGATAAGGTTCGGGGAACTGTCTGTGGATCTGTTCACGGCTCGCGAAAATGCTCAGTGTCGCCTGTGGTTTTCCCTGAGTCCCCGGGACCAACCCCCGCTCGGGGCGGACACCTTCTCACACCAGCCCTGGCCTCGAATGCTCCTTTATGTGTTTCCACCAGTCCCTCTGATTCCCCGTCTCCTGGACAAAGTTCGGTCAGAACAGCTCTGGGTAATTCTGGTGGCTCCCAGACGCTTGTCCGCTTCATGGTTTCCGGACCTGCAAGCGCTACTGTCCGGCTCCCCGTGGAGACTCCCGCGAAGGGAGGACGCCCCTCTCCAGGCGGATGGGATAATCAAACATCCTCCAGAAATAGGCCAACGGCTGTGGGTCTGGCCGCTGAGCGGTCACGCTTAGGGGTTTCTGGGCTGCCGCATGTGATTCAGAGTGCGCGGGCGCCTTCTACCATCACATATTATGCTGCTAAATGGGCAGCTTTCCAGAAATGGTGCACAGAGCGGAATGTTCAAGCGCTCTCCTGCCAGCTGGCAGATGTCCTATCGTTTCTGCAGATACTGATGGACAGGGGCCTCGCATTCAGCACTATTAAAACATATGCTGCAGCTATCTCATCCTGTCACCAGGTTTTTGGTGATAGGTCTGTTTTCAATCATCCCCTCACAAAACGTTTTCTAAAAGGTGTCAGAAGGAACAGACCTGTGTCCCGCCCGCTATTTCCCCAATGGGATCTAACGGTGGTTCTGCGTGGCTTATTTGAAGCCCCATTTGAACCCTTGGACCAGGTCTCACTCAAGTTCCTGTCACTTACAACTGCCTTGCTGCTGGCACTGGCAGCAGTCAAGAGAGTGAGCGACCTAACTATCCGCCCTCTCAGTGGCTCCCGCATGCCTCAGGATCCGGGAAGATGGCGGGTCTGCTGTTTTATGCCCCAACCCAGCCTTTGTGCCCCAAAACATTAATACTTCCTTCAAATCCAGGTCAATTTTCATTGGCTGGACTTTTTCCTCCTCCCCATAATTCTGATGAGGAGGCGACTTGCCATCTTCTCTGCCCGGTGCGCGTGCTCTCACAATATGTGTCACGCATTTCAGGGATTCGTCGCTCACAAAGCATGTTTGTGCACTACAGGGAGTCTTCCCTTGGGCACGCGCTGTTGGCCCAGCGCCTTTGACTCTATGGCGCTATGTGACGCCATTTCACGCTTACACATCATCAGGGCAGGATCCTCCTGAGACACTCAGGGCTCACTCAGCCAGAGGGATTTCCTCTTCTGTGGCGCCCCACAGTGGTGTGTCAATTGAAGTCATTTATCAGGCTGCTTCATGGGCTTCACCCTGTTCCTTTACTTGTTATTATTTACGAGATGTGTCTTCAGGATCCATCACTCGTTCAGTGCTTGGACCTCAGCAGGCTGAGTGAACGCATTATGGCACCTCATCAGCCCTGCTTGAATGAATTTCATCCTCTTGTGGATGATATATTTAGTGGGGGCCTCACTCTTCTCTCTGGCTGCCTCAGCCTTTTAAGCCCTGGTCTGAGGCTGAGCGACCCTCACTAAAAGGAGACTTGTTGGGTGTGTCCATTGGTTGAGCTAACCATTGTGGCATAAACGCATCCAGCTGCGCATTATTCCAATAGCAGCTCGCTTAAGGGCTAAGACTAGACGAAATAGTACGTTGGTTACGTATTGTAACCCCAGATTCTATGAGTCTAGTCGCAGCCCTTAAGCCACTGGCCCCACTGGTTCTGTTAGGACTAAGAGCCATCGGAGGCGAACAGTGGGGTCGTTCCACTTATATAACCCACAAGGGGTGCCCACGTGGTGGGCATACATTTAAGCTCTTCATGATTGGCTGATGCTGAGATCACCCTTCCAATAGCAGCTCGCTTAAGGGCTGCGACTAGACTCATAGAATCTGGGGTTACAATACGTAACCCACGTTTTAATTTGTAGGTAAAATCTAACATCAGCAGTCAGTAACACTAGTGAATAGTCAGGGTTATTAATAGATGAGCGTTTCTCCAATATTTCTCATATAGACTGTAATGTGATGAGTTCTCCTCTGCTCTTTCTGCTACAGACTCAACTGAAGACGGATGCTCTACACAAACACTAACAACTGTTTCTCCTGTTTAGTTTTTGTCTGAAGGCTCAACTAAAGTCACATCCAGCATGGCAGCGCGTCATGGAGCCAAACCAAGGAAAGGAGGTGTGATATCAGCAGGAGGCCAGTGAGCTGGGAGCTGAAGAAGGTAAAAACACAACCTGAAGGTTCCCCGTCTCCAGGCTAACACATAGGGCTGCTCGATTATGGCAAAAACAATAATCACGATTATGGTGACTGAAATTGAGATCACGATTATTTAGGACGATTTTTCAATTTATGTTGATTTTATTTGTTTATATTCAGTCATAAAATTGCTCAGGGCACAATCAGGACAAAAATAAGAAACAAGATGATCACTAAAAGAACTCCTGATTCCCAGTATAAAAAGACCAATATACTTAAGTCTATGACCCAAGGGCTACAGACCTTGGTTTAACTCATTTAAGTCTAACCAGTACAGACCCAAATACCAATATCTTGCAAATACTGACAGCAAGAATTTTACAGTGGCATTTATAACAAATAAATGCAAATAAATTGATGTCCACAAAATGTTGCATAACATTTATTGAGTCGTGTCAAGGTGCTGTAGGAGCGTGCACTAGCACCGTGTCCTCAGAGAGATTAGTTATTTATCAGCGTGAGGAACTTATTTCTACCTTATTTATAAACTATTTATTTACAAGTCCATCAGTTAATGTAATAATTGTCCCAACCACAGCTGCACCCCCCACCCCGGTCTCACAGCAATCGGGGCAAGCTGCACGTGTGTTTAGCACACCGCACGCGCACATTTAGCCGTTTTTATCGGCTCAGGAGTCCGCAGGTACGGTGTGTGTCACTCACTCTGGTTAATCCAACAGGGAGCCGGCTCCAAGAGCTGTTTCTTTAGCGACCGACACATCACTACATCATTCCCTTTCCTAATGTCCTGAAGAACGGTCCGGAGTGCAGGCGGAGTGTTTAGCTAACCTGCAGGAAACGTCGACGACAGTTATCCAGAAAGTAGCTAAGGGTTACCAGAGATGTTTCTGAGGTGTTCGCTGGGTACTTTTAAGTTAAAAAGTCGAGAAGGGGGTCTGAAAAGCTGCTGGAAATAGCGTCAAAGTCGCTAAGTTGGCAACACTGTGGGAGGAGCGCTTCATTTGCAACTCAGGGCAGCGCAAGCGGGAGGAGTAAATAATCCGCTTGTTTTGTTTTTTATAATCGTTCAAAACTCAGATCGTAATCGTGATTAAAATTCGATTAATTGAGCAGCCCTACTACCACAGAAGCTGCTGCTGAGTCAAGAGCACTAAGGTTAGTTAATACTGAAGCTGTTTTACATGAAGATGTTAAGAAATAGTCAAAAAAACTGGATGAACTTTAGATGTTGCGGGTGGGTTTTATACATCATTACATCACTGTAGGATCAGTCTTTCTATTCTAAAGGTGTATTTATTTATACTCACATGTAAATGTGTACATCCCTATAAAACATCTGCTTCATAAATGCTCTGAAACATCATCACCTGATATTTCTGTTGTATATTTAATACTTGGTCAGTTTATTGGTATTTTTTATTAATCTTGTTATATAGTTTGATTTTACCACTGAGCATTGACTAAATTAAGATTAAACAGTTGGTTAAATCCAGTGTTAAAAACAGTTCAGGTTCAGAAATCTTGTGCGTCCACAGCTGTTATTAGTGATAATTAAGCAATCTGATAAGGTGCCAAACATCCAGATATCGGCCGTGAAATCGGCAGCACTTATCGGCCATTGGCTGACCACGATAATAGAAAAACCAGTATCGGTCTGTAAAGCTCTGTAAAACTACATTTGATAGTCAAACATGAAAAAACACAAGTTAGGTTATTTTCTACTGTGAAATAAGAAATCTTTGATCAGTTCCCATCTCATTTGTAATCAGATGCTGGGAGAAGTTAAGATGTTTTGCATTATCTCTAATTTCCCTCTGGGATTAATAAAGTTTCTTTGAATTGAATTTGAATTGAGAACATCATGCAATGCCTTACTCACTTCAAAGAGTCTCTCCACATAAACCTCCTCGCTGACCTTCTCCCGTAGCATGTCCTGTGAATGACGAACAAACGTCACATAGCTGTCAGCGATGTCCATCCCGGGCTTCTGCAGAAACAGAAATAAAGAGAAAGAAAAAAACATTTAATGATATTTGTCCCCTGATGTGCTGTGAAAAGTATTTCATGTGACACAAGAGGGTTTCCAAGAATCCATTTAAGGTCATGCATGTTTATGAGATCACTCCAAAAATGGTGAGCCACACAGGGTGGATGTAAATGTGGTTCGCTCCTGTATTAGCACAGTATTAGCACATTCTATCATTGCAAAACCTTAGTGCCCTTGAGCTTAAGATGACATTTTACTTCAGGATGTTCTGCTAGAGCAGAACTCATGGTTCCATCAGTTACAGCAGGTGGTCCAGAAGCAGCACAGCAGCCCCAGGCCATCACACTGCCACCTCCATGTCTGACAGTTGCTATGATGTTTTTGTGTTACATAAACTCCAGATGAAACAGGATATACACTTTCTAGAAAGTTCTCCTTTTGGCTCGTTGCTTTACAGAATATGTCCCCAGAAATCCTAAAAAGGTCCGGACTCATATTTTAATACATTTGCAGCAGTAGGAATGAAGGCTTTTGTACTGTAGGGACAACAATCTAAGGTGAACCCATGTCAGCATGCAGAGTTCTGCCAGAGGAGAAAGTAGCTTCACACCGCAGGATTTGAAGACTTACTTCCAGATACCTGGACAACTAACAGCAACACTCTGCTCTGCAACCTTGATGTTTTACCTCCACAAATAACACAAGCCTGGAGGAATTCAGCTGTGTGGTGGAGTTGCTAGTACTAACAGTTAGCTCCTACTAGCCGAGACGTTCTCTGCTGTTTCCTGGACGCTAAACCAACAGCAGCCTTCCCCGTCGTGAGTCAAGGTGGATGAGTGCATGAATGTTAAGTGACAGTGTGACGGTTAAGTAAGTAAGTAAATGTTATTTATATAACGCTCATCACAGACATAGAATCACAAAGTGTTTCACGTGGATCAAAACAAAATAAAACATAAATCATAATGATCTCAAAACAGAAATAGATTAAAATCTGAAAAATAGCCATTCAGTTATTAAATACCTTAGGTAAAAGCAGCTTTAAATAAAAGGGTCTTTAGCTGTTTTATAAAAAGGTCCAGACTGCCAATGCTACGTTAGGATAAAGGAAGATAATTCCAGAGTCGGGGTGCAACAGTTTGGAAGGAGTGATCACCTCAACTTTCATATCTGGTCTTTGGAACTTCTAGAAGGTTCTGGTGGGTGGACCTGAGGGCTGAGGTTGGAGCATGAGGCTTTAACAGTTCAGTAATATAGGGAGGAGCTTGACCATGTAGAGCCCTGAAAGACGTAGATAAAGCTGACACCCCACCCACATCAGAAATCCACACAAATACGTGGAGTGGTTAGTGCTACGTTAACAAGATGGCGCCTGTGCTTGGCTTAGCCGCAGTCACCGGCCACTTTTTCAGACTTTTCTCCACTAACCTCCGCTTTTCCACCTTGCTCCTGTTTACGATCCTCTTCAGTAGTGTCCCTGCTACCATCGCCTATAGCTGTTGGTGACTTTAACATCCACGTTGATGATCCCTCTGATCACTTTGAATCACACCATGAGTTTCTCCAGCCTTATGGACTCCTTCAGCTTTACCCAGCATGTTTCTGGCCCCCCACACACCAGGGGGCACACTCTAGACCTTGTTTTTACCCTGAGTCTAAATGCTGACAGTGTTTGTCCTGAGGACGTTTATATTTCAGATCACCATTGCATTTTCTTTAACTTGTCAGTTTCTGCGTCCCCACCTCCTGCTCGCCGTATGATTAGTTCTCGTTTTCTTAATGAGAGCACAGCTACCAATTTTTCTGCTGCTTTTGATCCACCCCATTCTTCTGATAACACCCAGACTCCTTAACTTCTCAGTTTAACGAGCAATGTCTCTCCATTCTGGACAATATCTGTCCTGTGAGAACCAGATCATTTCCTGCAGTGAACCCTACTCCCTGGTTTAATGATAGCCTTCGCAGCCTGAAGCGCCAATGCAGAAAAAGTGAGCATTTGTGGAAGAAAACCCATCTCCATGTCTATCTGCTGCACCTAAAGGATCTTCTGACATCCTTTAACTCTGCAGTCAGAGATGCTACATATACCAAGATGGTTGCAAGATAACCCACTAGATGAGTCCTGGTTAGATATAGAACAGACACTTTCTAATACGATAGAGCTTTCAGACTTACCATTTATTAGCTCAAGCATAAGAAAACATGAAAGCTTCAAAAGTATTAGTATCAGCACCTCTCTGACGGCATGGTGGGAGTATCTTAAAATGACAGAGTCTTCACTAGTACAATGCAGACACACACCCATCTGGAATAATCCTGATATTTTGCTAAATGACTAAATGATGAACCTTCCGGACTGGAAAAATAAAGGAATCCTATACCTGGAACACATATATGAAGGATTGGACTTCATCCCATTTAACAGAATAGTCTCCCAATTTGGAATGGATAAGAATAGCTTTTTAGAATATCACCAAATTGAATCTGTAGTCAAACAAAAATTTAAGCTCAATAAAATAGAATTACAAACACCACCAAGGGTATTAGACTTCTATAATCTCAAACCCCCCAAACTACTGTCTAAAGTATATAAGACACTGTCCAAAATAGATGATAGAATAGCAATCCCTATTGAAAAATGGGAGGTGGATCTATCAGTCAGCTTTGACCAGGGCTTCTGGTCCCATACTTGTTTAAAAACTTAAAATGATCAGACACCCCAATTTACAATTAATTCAGTACAAAATTCTACACAGAGTACACTATACAGGTCATCGGATGTTCAGGATGGGGTTTGTGTCGTCTGACACCTGTACACACTGCACAAACAACATTCGTGCAGGATGATGTGGGTGATGAGGTGGAAATTCTGAGGTTGGAGTATCCGGACGTTCCCTGGAGGTGGGTTCACTGGGGGTGTCTGGGACTGGGGGTCTGCTGCCCCACTCTGGAGGTGCTTGGGTTGCCTCGGGGGGTGGACTACGGGCAGTTGTGAGTGGGGCCCCTTGGGGGTCTTGGTGATGGCCATGGGTTGCTGCCTGGCAGCTGCATTGCCCCTGAGCAGGTCTGGGTGGGGGCCTGGGGGCTCGGGGTGTGGGGGTGGCCAGCCCCATGTGAGGATCTGGGCAGGGCCTTGGGGGTCGGGTCCTGACATATATGCTGCCGAGAAGAAGGCGGGAACTTGCAAGAGTGCCTGGCCTGGGCTCAGGGGCCTCAGGTAGATCTTGGCTCCTCTGCTGTCCCATCAAGGGGGAGGGGGATGTCCAGGAGGGGGAGAACCCAACCTTACCTGGATGTCCTATGTCTTGTATATTCTGGAAGTAGTGCAAATGCAGGGATTGGAGTAGATATTCTGCTGGGGTGGGGCTGGGTTGGTGCCCTTGGACTCCATGGGGCTCTGCGATGCTGTTGCTTTGGGCCCTGGCAAGGTGGGCTGGGGTCTCCATGCCCTGGGTGGCATTTTGGCAACAGAGGTGTCTATTGGGGCCCTTGGGGGAGCTGGCTCCCTGGAGGGCTTAGGCCAACCGGCCATTCCTCCCCATCACCACACATTTTTCTCCTCCTGCTCCCTCCCATCATCACACAAACATGCACATAGGACCTTGGGGGGTGGACAAGTCAGGGGTGCGGGTATGGACCCCATTTCTGCATTCTTGTGGCAACCTGCCCCCCAATTTTATTAGCACATTAAACACTTCCACCAACAACATTCCACACAAACACACACTTGGGGCCTTGGGAGTGAGCACATTCAATGGAATTTGGCAGGGGGATTTTTCAGCCTCATCCCGAGTGCCGGTGCCCACTTCCAATTTTAAACTGCACTTAGAGACACAGAGAGCTGTGGGTGCAAGTAGGGTGGTGTGGTGGCATCAGCTGGGGTAGGCCAGGAGATGCTTGCACTGCCCGCTCACCACAGCCATGGAATACACCTCATCAACACGCACTAACACTGTATTGGAGCAGGTGGAGGGATATTAGGGGTCTTAGCACACCTCTGTTGTTGCTTGGCTTCCTGGGGCTGGAGGCTAGGAGGGAGATCTGGCCATCTGGTTGGGGTCTGAGGTGGTGGGTTGCTTTGCTCGGCGTTGGGCGAGGGAGCCTGCTCATCAGCACCCCAGCAGAAAGGGTCAAACTCTTTAAACTGGTGATGGTTGTACCCAATGTGCAGCAGTGCCGGGACCAGCGTGAATAGGGTGTGTATGGGGAGCATGAGTAGGTGTCTGGCGTGCATTTTTGTAAGTCTTAGGTTGTGTGTGTGTATATGTGTGAGCATGAGGGAGGGAGTGTGTGACTGTGTGTGTATGACTGTACATGTCAGGTGGGGCCTTTGACTCCTCCCCTCTCCTGGGACTTCTTTTGATGCTATACATCTTCGCCTCCCCTCCCCCGCCACACTTGGTGTAGAATGTGGTGCCTTGGTCTGCCTGAGTGATCGCGGCTCCCGGGTCAGGGGGTTTAAGATTTTTGGCGTTTGCCAACCACAGTCATGCAGATGACACCCAGATCTACCTAGCTCTATCTCCTAATGCATCTGATCCCCAAGACTCACTTTGTCAGTGCCTAGAGCAAGTTAATGACTGGATGCAATCAGGTTTTCTTCAATTAAAGACTGAAGTTATTGTTTTTGGAAATAAGAAGAATAGGATGGAAGCTATTTCTCAACTTAACTCTAAAGTAATGAAAACAAAAACCCAGGTTAGAAATCTTGATGTTACCACTGATTCGGACCTGAGCTACACTGGCCACATTAAAGCTATAACTAGATCAGCATTTTATCATCTCCACCAATTAGCAAGACTCAGAGGTTTCATGTAAAAAAAAAAACTAGAGAAACTCATTCATGCATCATCTCCAGCAGGCTGCACTATTGCAATGGTCTCCTAACTGGTCTTCCCAAAAAAGCTGTGAAGCAACTGCAGCTTGTTCAGAATGCTGCTGCTAGAGTCTTAACAAGAACCAAGAGATCCAAACACATCACTCCTGTTCTTAGATCTCTA